CTAGTATCGCAGAGGTCAGTGGTTCGAATCCCGTACAGGTCTGATTTTTTTCAGGTCTGATTTTCGCTATTGCTTAAATAGCGCTACCTACTGCGAGGATCGTGCATTATATGTAATTAACATATGTGAGGGCGAACTGATGGGCTGCTTACAATCGCAACCGAAGACCAACTCTTCCAGTTAACGAAGTAATTTGGATATATCAACAAAGTTGAAATGGTAAATTGGCCACCGTAACGATTACAAAGGCTGACGTTTCGAGCGTTAGCCCTTCGTCGGAGCGAATGACGAAGGGCTAAAGCTCCGACGAAGGGCTAACGCTTCGACGAAGGGCTAACACTCCGAGTAGGGGCTAACGCTCGAAACGTCAGCTTTTGTAATCGTTACGGTGGCCAATTTACCATTTCAACTTTGTTGATATATCCAAAATAATTATTTAGGCGAGTAATACTATTTAATGCAATGATTATAATTATGATAATAACAAAAGAGAATTTTTGAAATCATCTATAGACCTCCGACTATACAAGTGACGTGTGACAAGTGATATTAAAGTTTATCTGTTTGTTTGTTTGTTTGTTTGTTTTTTACTTATCGTCTGACTTTTAATAATATGGCGAGGGTAAATTTTCAAAGTTCAGTCCTCTAGGATCATTGCATTGCGGTTTTCTGGCACTGGCCATATGGTTCTCAGTAACTAAAGTAGTTGACTCTGATTCGTTTGAACGCAATGCAGTGATGTAACTTACCGCAGGTCAAGATTCTATGAGTGGCGGCGATTCTATGTTGTATTAATACAAACAAAAATAGGTTGGAGAAGAGATCTTGTGTCCTCATCCTTCTCTCTAGATAAAGAATAAACGAATCAAAGAATGCTGAGATAAATAAATCAATGCTTAGAGAAAAACAATATAACAAGGAATTTTCGCTGAAAAAGATCGTGAAAGACGAAATTAGCGATGGTAATGATAATGATAATATCAATGACGATAATGAAAATAATAATAACGAAAACAAAGATGATTGAAATGAACTAGCAAGACATGATATTTTTAACCGAAGAAAGAGAAGATTTGGGAACAGAGAAGAAGAAAAAAATCTGAAAAATACTGAGCCAAGAAAGTAATTAGTATTGTTATGAACTAGTAGTAGTGGTAAAGAGTTTGCGAATTGGGATGTCAAATTATCGTGAGGTCCTGGTGCGAGTCTCGTAAGCCTCGTTTTTTCATGTGATGCAAAACCACATATATTTTTCCTTTTTAGTGATTTGTCCTTGACCGTTATGATAGCGCTTATTTCTCACACAATAATCGCCACGGCTGGTCGTGTCTGGGTTTGTCTTCTCCAGGAGTGATATTGTTTTTCGCGTGCTTTGTTGTTCATTACGACAGTCTCGTGAAATTGTTTGGGTTAGGGCCTATCCGTACTAGCGACAAAATTGCTTTTGAGACAAATTTTCTGTTATCATCAACACTTTACAAGTGCGGATGGGTTGCCGCGACTTGCAAAATTTTGGTCCCAAACGGACAAATTTTCAAACGCACCGTTTAAAAAAATTTCCTCTTTACAAAATAGACAAAATAAACAAAACCGTAATAATCTTCTCGATCATATTTTTGTAAACGCCGCCACAAGGTTGGTAACTGAACTGAGTATAGTTTACCAAAAGATTGCGTCTTTCGTTGCGCTCCCGGATTTTACAACTTCAAACAACTTTTGATGAATCCTGTTAATTGGAGTTTGAATCCATAGGCAAATTATAGCGGCCAGTCTTATGAGCAGGTCAGGCGCTGGATGCAGCCGGGGCAAGATACAATGGTGGAGTGATTTTCCGGTCGGCACTTTATCAGTCCAACATTGAAGCAGTAGATGCGGCACAAGATCCAGAAGTGCCCACTCAAAGCAAAGGGAAAGGAAAAGCTAAATTGAATCGAATTACAGTAAAATAAAGTATCGGTGTTATTTTTGGCTGTTAACCGAATTTGACAGATTTAACAGCTTCGACATTTTCAATGCGGATGCAACAGAGGCGACAAAAATTTGTCGAGACAAAATTTGTCCTATGATTTTGTCAGCGCGGATAGGTCCCTTAGTGCTCTAAACTGCGTTCCTTCTGCCAAGGTCAGTTTTCCCGTAAGCCCACCCATGCCTACTTTGGGGGATACAATTTTTTTCACGGGCCTGAAAGTTATCGATGCGTACTTTCAGTGAAAGGTAATTTATAACGATTTTTCAGAGTGAACACGCCTCGAATCTGTCAAAAGATAACAGATGTTGTTTGCAAAACATTGAAAGGAGCAAAGACATAATCATATGGAATCCATGAAATTGACCTTTATTACCTTCATTGACAAGTACAATATTTTTCCATCCGTACTTTTCCAGTATGTCAAGTGTGGCTTGGGCATAATCTCTGTATCCTGCTGACATGCGGATTTCTTTTTCACATTGGTCCAGGGGTGCAATGTTACCATAGAGACGGATGAGAGGAATGCCGGTCATTGTAGAGAGTGCACAAGCGGAAGTGGTTGCTACACCTCCCTCGATAAGTGTGATCACGTTTGATGCTGAAGTAGTTGTAGTAGAAAAGGAAGCTTGAATTATTTGGCTGCAAAACTTTTCAATAACATAAAAACCCAGACATGACCAAATATGGAGTCATGTTACCTTCACCAAACAGTTCTGCAACTTCTGAAATGTTGAATTCTTTTAAAACCACTGAAACATTTTTCAAGCCGGAGAAATAACTGAAGACTGAGTTCAATGCATGAAACTCATCAGTTTGTCCACTAATAAATCCTGTTTAAAATTGAGCAAGAAAAGAATTATTTAGGAGAGTACTACTATTTGATACAATGATTATAATTAAGATAATAACGAAAAATAATTTTTTAAGAAATCATTTATAGATCTCCGAATATACACTTGACGTGACAAGTGATATTAAAGCTTGTCTGTCTGTTTGTTTGCTTGTTTGTTTGTTATCTACTTATCGTCTTACTTTCAATAATATGACGACGGTAAATTTTCAAAGTTCAGTCCTCTAGGATTATTGCATTGCGGTTTTCCGGCACTGCCCATATGGTTCTCAGTAACTAAAGTAGTTGGCTCTGATTCGTTTGAGCACACTGGAGTCATGTAACTTACCGCAGGTCAAGATTCTATCAGTCGCGGCGATCCTCTGTTGTATCAATACAAAGAAAAATACGTTGGAGAAGAGATCTTGCGTGCTCATCCTTCTCTCCAGATAAAGAATAAACAAGTCAACGAACGCTTAAATGAAAAAATTAATGATTATAGCAAATCGATATAACAAAGAATTTTCGCTGAAAAAGATCGTGAAAGACGAAATTAGCGATGCTAATGATAATGATGATAGTAATGACGACAATGAAAATAATAATGATGAAAAAAAGATGAATGAAAAGAAACTAATATGACATGACATTTGTAAGAGAAGAAAGTGACAATTTGGGTATAGAGAAGACGAAAAAAACCGAAAAATACTGAGCCAAGAATGTAATTAGTATTAGTATGAACTACTAGTATTGGTAAAGAGTCTGCGAATTGTTTAGGGTTGTCAAATTATCGTGAGGTCCTGATGCGAGTCTTGTAAACCTTGTTTTGTCATGTGATGCAAGACCACATATAGTTTCCCTTTTTTGGTGATTTGCCCTTGACCATTATGATAGCGCTTACTTCTCAGACAATAATCGCCACCGCTAGTCGTTTCTGGGTTTGTCTTCTCGAGGAGCGATTGTTTTTCAAGTACTTTGTTGTTCATTTCGAAAGTCTCATGAAATTGTTTGGAATAGGAATAAGTGTGAAATGTTCAGCAGGCAACCGTGGACGATACTACTACTCTTGTGCGTTGGATCAGCGTTGATCTGATCGGCCCAAAATAACGAATATGAAATATAAATATAGAGGCAAGACCGATACAACGTAGATAAGTAAATTTTAAGACGGAGCACTATATTTCGGCTGGCCAAACCAGCCTTCTTCAGGTGCAATGGGAATTAACAGAGAATTGCTCGAAGGATACAACCATCGACTCTCATTTTACTTAGTTTGTAATCGAATACTTTGACACAAAATAGTCAGTCGAGCACGTCTTGAGCGCCGAATTTTCACGGAACGAAGCTGTGCCCTGTGGAATGAAAGGAAGAAGAATGTGAGCTATTTCAGGTCTTGTTTGATTTACTTCTAAAAATATGCGCATTACACAAACAATTTCATCCAGGGCAACATAATTTATGGCTAATTACTGCATTTTTTTTTATTATGAATCTAATCAATCACAGCCATTTGAATAATAGAGACAGTATAACAGTCGCTGATTGCTTGACACACACCTTGTTTAGCTCTTCTTTTCCAGTAAATTTCGGTAAGCAAGGTGAAGAAAGCAATCACCATTCCAACGAACAGGACCAAGTACACACCCAACATACTATTTAGACCAATTTGCTTGCGAGATAATGCTGAAAATTGCAAAAAAGAGACACGGTCTTCTCGAACCTATATAAACGCTATAACCCTCCACCCATACATTAAGTGATTTATCGATTCCTTATACACCTTTGCGGATTTTTGTTGCAAATAGTTGAATTTGTTCATAAACCGTATTCAACTGAATTGCTCATACCAGTTGAAGACAATTCTACTCGATAACCTTAAAAATGCTATTGTGCCAATTTGTGAAGTCAATCAATTTCGCGAGACTTTTTTCTCTCGATTAGGATTGGAATTGAGAAAAAAACGATCTAAATTCCTCGAGATTGAGGACCTATTTAAATGCGTAATTTTGATTCCTTATTCTCCCTCGGACTTTCTTAAGAATCAGAACCTTGGGACCAAGACGATTGTTGTCAACCTAACTCAATGCTATAACGAGACTAGCAGAAGACTAATTTTTAGACCACAGTTTATGTAAATCCCAGAAAGTAGCGAAGGTCCCATCAAAGTAATATATCTCACATGTTTCTTCTTTCACTGAACAGCTATTTTCGCTTTCCCACCATTTCCGTTCCAAGCTGGCGAGAAAATCGTTTTCGTGTAAACGCAAAATGGTCAGACTGAAGTTATTCACGTGGGGATCGTTCGCGTGGAAGGCTAAGGCGAATCCTTTAGCTGTGCTTAAACCTGGCACTGTGGATAAAACAGATGCTTTTACATTATATATAAAGTCAAACCTTAATTAAGCGATCACCGACGGGGAATAGCGGGGTGACCGCTTAATACAAGTTGACCGATTAATAAAGGTTCCTCAGCCTGGGGGTAATATAAAAACACGATAAAAAAGCCATTTTATGCCATAGGTGACCACTTAAGGTACAATAACACGCTTACAAATACTATTTAAAATAAATTTCGAGAGAAAAACATGGATTTAGTTTTATTTGAAAGATCATTCCTAATTTTATTCGACTAGTTCCGCTTAAGTGACCGTTCATATAAGTGAAACACAATACAAACAACCTGTCAGGACTCACTCAAAGGTTTTTACGACCGCTTGATAGAGGAGAAAACTATTGTGATTAAGGGGAAACAGGTTCGGGACTTTGACAACCGACCGCTTAATACAGAGTGTCCTTTTGACTCGGTGTCGCTAAACATAGTTTCAACGGTAACTTTAAGCAGTGAAATAGATGTATCAGGTCTGTTGTGTCTGTTAAAAAGTGTTCGTCGGGCCAGTCGGAGTAATTAGCAATCGATATGGTAGGAAAATTGTTTGGAGTTATAAAACTTCTCGCATACTGTTTGGATTTGCTATCTTAACTCTTTTTTCTTTTTTTATTGTTTCATTAGCGTTTTTGCCTGAGTGTTGTTGTTGTGTTATTAACAACCACTAACTTATAATGAAATATAGAGATAGTGTAGCGACAGGAATTATTACCGAACGTACTCACAAAGCCTCGATAAAACTGCCAACTATTAATTCAGTATTTACCTACTTCCAAGTCACAAGGTGGCTTGCTGACAATCTTTCTGAGGGAAGGACCGTCAGTTATAAGCGCGAAATGTTCTTTTTCTCTCACCCATTGAACACCTTGTGCAACGGTTTTAACCAGTGTGTCATCTCCTTCAATTTTACGCCATATCTTTTTGTATGCTTCGTAGTCACTAGCCTTGAAAAACTCTGACATACTGGATGAGTTGAGCACTGCTATGGAGTAAGATGATTCTGTGAGCTCTCCCAGGTTTTGAATAGGATGCACCGCGTTCTTCACCGTGAAAAATGCTGCCAGATTAGCAGTATATGTTGAGATACAGATCAGTATGCAGAACCAATAGCAACCAGTAAGTATACGACCTAAGAATTATTTTGAGAAAAAAATATGCGGATTCTCAGTTCTCTCATAGAGGTAATTTTGATGAAGTGAACGATAATACGAAAATCTTTTCTAGGCTTTGAATGCTTGGGCACTGTCTTGGGTCATGAAATAAAGTCAAGTAATTTTTAGGTAACACAATAGTAGTATAGGTGGGGACCAATCACTTGGATATTTTAGAAATTTAATTTTTTCCACCTGAGAGGCTTTTTGGTGTATTATCTCCTCCTTGTTGTAGCATACAAGCTAAAGCAAACCACACACTGTTGAAAAAGCTAAACTCCTTCGATGTCCCTCTGCCATTATCATCTTTGTATCCATAAGGACTGTATTAGTTTATTACAAAGACAGCAATAGAGCTGATCACCAGGGTGGCCAAATTAGCGAACCAGACTTGATTATCAAACGGATCCATAAACTGCAGAAGCTCATATTTTTCTCTGGACGATGCCTTCTTCAATAATATATCTGAGGTGAGGTGCATAAAGGGAACGCTGAAATCCACAACCTCCTCTCGCCTTTCTGTAACTGTGAGGGAGGCAAGGGCCATATCCGCTCGCTTTGAGATGAGAAAAGAACAGCCTATTTAATTTGATTTTTATTACCGTGACTTATCTCTTAGGAGTATCTCTCTGTCGATGAACCAGACCTTTCAACTCCACTGCTCGCATAGATCCTCCTCCCACGGTCAAATATAATCTTAGCATTCTGTGTAATATCGAGTCCAATTTTCATAAAATGATACAAGGTATCAAGGGTTTTAGCACGAAAGCTTCAGAAAAAAGACAGATGAATTGTAGTTGTAACAAGTCCAAATCAGCAGTTTCTGCTATTTTCCTAAAAACTATGTGTATGGGCGTAACTGTTTGAGTCGAAATGTCGGGAAACCGGACCAATTCCTTCCATACCATTTTATTATTTGGCTTTGCGGAACTAACCGAGTAAAAGGTTAGGTAACATTCCACCACAGCCGAGTCTTTCAATTGCTAGTTTTAGGTATATAGTGTATGTGCTTTCCAATAATTTGACCAATCAGAGAAGTGAGGTTGGTGGGAAATTATACAGCATACCTCATTTATAATCTCACCAATAGCCCCATTCCAAGTTCCGTCTTCCATTTCAGCGCCATATTTGCCGTCAGGAGAGGTGTAGATCTCATAAGTAAATTTGAGATTTCTTGCAAGCTCATTCAGCAAGTCAATGCAGTATCCTTCATAGAATAGCTCGCCATCGTTCTTTTTCCTTTTCATAACGTAGGGACTTTCCTGGTGGGGAAACAAATTAGACGACAATCGTTCAGTGTGAAGGTGTAATACATCTTCTACCTCTGTCGCTGATGATGATAAAAATTCAATCAGGTAATAGTAATAATTAGGCTTCTAATTAACACGTTGTTAAGACGAGTAGACTGTCTTCTCGGCTTATAACTTTGTGAGCTTCGATTTATTTCCTGTTTGAGTGTCTTAATCGTTACAAAAGGCTTTACAGAGCACTAGTTAATATCGCGTTCGCGAGGTCCATTTTAACTTTTTTCTGCTATATATGGATATATATGTGAAAGAACGAAGTGTAGTTGGTGCAAAAAGATCAACCAGACCACAACTTTTACCAGTCCCAACAACAAGAAGACTTCTACAATATTTCATGCAGTGGACTGCCATTCGCCATGTATCATTACATAATCGAGTGCAACATTTGCAAACCTCAATGCATTGGCAAAAGTGAAACGGCATTTAAATTACGGTTAAACAATCACAGAAACCATATTAAAAAGGGAGTGATTAGCTGCGAACTCACTGAAAACTTTTTACATAACACACGAACTCACCACTTTGACAATAATGTTACCATTACCAAAATGAAGATACTGTGTAGTGCAATAAAACTTGGACTAGGTACATGAACAACACAGACATAAATAGAGAGTAAAAATATTGAATGAAAGAGATACCCTCCTTCTCCCTTTAGAAAGCCAATTTTGCAAGCTATCAGTTTTCCTCGTCATTGCAAGCTTGTTTACAAAGAATGCCAAATTTCCCCAGGCACTCATGAAAATACGACTATACTTTTGGGGTTTGATAGGCATAGTGTGGATTTCATAGTAAATTATTCCTCGGTAAACCGCTCATATGTATTTTGTATTTATTCATGTACCATTTACACACACACAAACACAAATAAATTACAGTTGTTTACAACAATAAAAAATAACAACTATCGCAATATCATTATACAACAAACTATACCTAATCCATGTAAAATTACTTTTTATGATCATTTATAAAAAGTGTGGCGAGAAAGGTCAGCAGAAGCTAGTTGCTTATCAAACCTGGATTCCTCACACGATGTAGAAGATAGATTTGCTAATTACGGGCGGGCGAGTTTAGTTTAGTTTTTTGTCAATGAGGAGTTTTTTTAAGCGAAGTCTTAAAGGTGAAGAATCTACAGGATAAGATAAGATCACGAGGTAAGGAATTGCAAACCTTTGGAATTTGGTGCATGATCGTAAACTTCTTGATATCACTTCTGCAATAGCGTGTACAGTAGTTTCTATTATTCCAAGTATCGTGCGTATGAATTTGATGATGAATTGAAAAAAGAGTAACAAAAGCATTAGGAAGGAGGTTATTGAAATAGGAATACATAAACCAAGCTACAAGGAAAGCTTTAATGTTATAAATATCAAGAATATTGAGATTGTAGAATAAGGGCGTAGTATGAGTTAGGTATTCGGCTGATCTTATAATTCTGACTATACGTTTTCTGCAGGAGGAAAATCCTACTTAAATTAGAAGAATAAGTTGAGGACCATACGATATTACAATAGGTAAGATAAGAATATATTCATAAATATGAATATTAGTGTTTGAGGCTCATTACCAATAAAACAACGATTCGAAGCTTTCTTCCCTCCAGAGTTGTTTTTGATAACGGGCTATCCATGTTTCGTTTGATATTTCCAGTCATAACGGCACCTTTGGTTGAATTCCACGTACCAACCTACATAATAGATTTTACTTTATGAATCTCAGCTACTTGGAATAGGAAGCTTAAAGTCCAGGAGTACGGTAGGTGTAGATAAACACTACATGTTGAACGCCACAAAGTGAATACACATGTTCCATTATTTGCCTGATGGACGTCTATTTAGATGGAAGGATTCGTAGGTGGGATTCGTAGATGACAAAAAACCAAATGAAATGTAAACGAAATTACAATTTTCAGCTGATCGGGTAAGGCAGAATTTTAAAACAAAAGCAACACGATGCCAGCAGGCGGTGCGCGTCACAGGTGGGCATAGGATCAGGGGTAAAAATGTGAATCGGCTCATTACATCCTCGACATTGTCGCGTGAACATCTTCGAGTGTTGAATAATACATAAGAGTTAATATCTTCCAGTAGTTTTGGAATGGGATTTAAACCCTTCTTCCATTTTTGAAAGAGGTAACAGAAGAAACGAATTAGCAGTCTTTAGAAGGCCTCGTGGCCGCAGTCAATGCCTCTTGTTGGCTTCACAAGGCAATTTCTTTGAGTTATCAGCAACATGGCGACGATCGACAGTGAGGACATGGCTTATGTGAGTTTGTGTTCGACAGTTTCTTTCGGATTTCCCCATATCATTAATTATATTTATTTTTCTATAGAGTTCAGGATATCTGCTCATCATATCTGCAGTTACTGAACCAAAATAATATTATAATTTGGATATATCAACAAAGTTGAAATGGTAAATTGGCCACCGTAACGATTACAAAAGCTGACGTTTCGAGCGTTAGCCCTTCGTCGGAGCGAAATAATATTACTCCGTTGATAGTTTTCGACGGCCTTTTATTACCGGGAAAGAAAGAAGAGCATAAGAAAAGGGCGAGGTACAAATTATTTTAACCAGAAGCATATCACCTAGACTATGTATATGCTTCTGATTTAACCGATTTTTATAGATAGTGCACAAGTTTATGGCTAAGTAGCAGTGCTATAACTATAACCCCTTACTACTTTTGTT